CGTGCCCAACATAGACCACATGGGCCCAACCTAGGGCCAAGATGCGCACCAGATAGCTTAACTTTGCTCAATATAGGGCCCCGTCTCCGACGCGGACCAGTTTCCGGCACCACCAGGGCCCAGTGTATGCCCCCGATAGCTGCGCGTGCACCCGACCCAGCCCTACACAGACCCAAGTGGGCCGGCGCCCGGCTGTTAGGCGTAAGCCTTTAAATAAGTCTATAAGCTACAGAGGTCACTCTTAACAGTTTGTTGGTTGCTCTCCCTAGACAGTGTCAACAATGTTGACAGTTCGCCTGTGACCAGGACAACGAACGGAGTCGGGAGTTCAATCCCAAATGCATTAAGGGAGTGTTCGCCCTCTGAATATGGTCTGGTGGCGTGCTTCGTGTTAGGCCTTAGGCAGTTGCTGGGTCTGTTGTTGCAAGATGGAGAGGTGTTGACCCTGCAAGTTTTTACAGCAGCATCTTGAGCATTTGTAGAGCTCGAAAACAAGTGGCCGACAGAGCTACGAATTGAGCAGTCACACTGGCACTGGGTTATCACACCGCAAGCGTTAGCACGTCAAGCAAATTCTAGCATGACGTGCCCAGTGAAACGGAACTATTTGGCATGACCTGGTCTGCATGGCGTCCATTTGCCAAGAAGCTGTATTTCTGGAGCCGCTCCCGGACATGTTTCTCCCGCAGCGCCTCGAATCACTTCTTTGTCACGAAGCTGGATGCTGTTGAGGGAATGAAGGAGCTTTAGGTTCTGCAATCCAGGGGGAGAGCAAGTCTACACCCACATCGTGTTAGGCAGGTGCCTTGTAATATGATGGTTTTTGGACGACTAGTTGTGATCTCCCTGTAGGACCCTTCTGCCTTCTCCAAGGACAAAATGACTCCACCCGGAAAATGACTCCAAGCTACTGCGATGGCCTCCAACCTACTAGCGATGGCCACCAACCTAGTAGCGATGGCCTCCAACCTACTAGCAATGGCCACAACCTTAGTAGCGATGGCCTCAAACCTACTAGCCTCGAACCTACTACCGATGGCCTCCAACCTACTAGCGATGGCCTCCAACCTACTAGCGATGGCCACTAACCTAGTAGCCTAGTAGCATTGGCCACCAACCTAGTAGCGATGGCCTCGAACCTACTAGCGATGGCCACCAACCTAGTAGCGATGGGCTCGAATTTAGTAGCCATGGCCACCAACCTAGCAGCGATGGCCTCCAACCTACTAGCGATGGGCACTGACCTAGTGGCCTACTGGCGATGGCCTCCTTCTCGGAGCGTTGAAGCTCATGCTCCTCAGAGAGCTGCTCCAACCTGCTTCGTCCGACTGCTTCGTTCCTTGCTTGGGTCCCGTCGGGCCCGTCCCGGACTGGCAATTGTTTACTAGTAGCTTTTTGTTACAGTAGCGTCCTTGCTCCTAGTAGTAAGGCCAGGAGCTAGTAGCGATGCCCTTTGCTCCTAGTAGCAAGTGCTTAGATGTGCGTAGCAAGTTCGAGACTATGTGTAATGATTTGAACCACTTCAGTAGTAACAAGTGCATCGCTAGTAGTAACAAGTGCATCACTAGTAGTAACAAGTGCATCGCTAGTAGTAACAAGTGCATCGCTAGT